GCTACCCTCCCTGCTGCCCCTCCCTGAAACTAGCAGCTTCTTTACCAGCAGTATTGCTCCATCTGAGGAGGCCCTACGTAAGGGTATTCCCACAGGGCTTCTCCCTGATGTTACTGGGGAAAGGTGAAGGAGTGGGAATTGGGCCTGACTTCTACTTGGGAGTGTGGTCTTGGTTCTTGTGTTAGGCTGTCTACAGGAGGAGTCTAGTGAGGTCATGGCCAAACCCACCTGAGCAGCGGAGGGTCTCTGTCTGTCTGCACTAACCCCTGCCACCTCTGGTTCTTTGGCAGAAGAATCTGGAGCTGCATGGAGACAGTTCTGCAGAGATGGTAGCTGGCCTCAGTGAAAATCCTGAGCTGTTATGGGGAATTATAAATGCTGAGTCAGTGCTTAACCCTCTCCTGCATCGCTTTCACCCTGCTAGATTTCCCCTCCCAACTCACAGGCACCCTCTGCCCAGCACCTCCAGCTAACCCCCTGTAATACCTGCCTCATAACTCCTTCAGGAGAGACTTTCCTGGCCATCTAAGAGGAAGTTGCTCTTCAGCTCTGTCTTCACGGCAAACATTCCCCTTAACTTGGCCAAGCCAAAAGCAAACTCTTTGCTGATTCCATGCAAACTACCCAAGTTCCTGTCTCTTCCCGTTGATAATTTAGTCAGATTTTTCCTCTTTACCCAAATGTCAATGTGAGTGGGTGGAGTGGGGGTTGTGGGGACCCCCTAATGTTAGTCCGGTTAGGATTTTTTCATTCTAGCCAAGCACATACATGACCTCCTCCATTCCTGGGCTCTCTGAAGGAAAATCTGATTCTTGTATTCAGCAGAACTCTGCAAAATTTAGTCCTTTTTTTATTTATTATTTTCCCCCCCTGAGCCTTGCTGTGCCCACCCAGGCCTGTGCTGCAACAAGAGTCATTCAGAGGGATCAGTAAGATCGTTAAGTGGAGGTTATTTAGGGCATGAAGACAGGAGATGTCTGGGCAGGACATCCTTTATAATGTTGTTGAGAAACTAGTGACCTTCATCAAGCTTCTGTGTTTTGGCCTGAAGAATGAGCCTAAGCCCAGTATCTCCTGTGTCAGCCAGTATCTCCCAGCCAGTATCTCTCCAGTATCTCCCAGTGTCAGCCAAGATTTCCATACACTTGCTTCAGGAAGCATCTGATTCCCATGAACAGGGGAAACCCTAGCAGCATAGGGCCTGAGACAGTTCTCAGGCTGACATCTTTCTGTTGCAGGAGTCTCCCGTGTCTGCAAACAAAGCTGATGCAAAGCTGAGTCTCCCCGTGCTGCTGCTGAAAATAGAGCCACCCAAACCCGTTACAGGTCAGGACTGATTCTGCACTCGCAACCTGCAGCCTTCTTCAAGTGGGAAACAAATCATGGCCCTTACGACTATAGGGCAGGTCAGAAAGTTTCAGGAATGTGATCCCTGGTCCCTTCCTGACCCGTCTTTGCAGTTACATGTAATCCTGTAGTGGGAGTTGCTTCTTACTGACCATCTCACGTCACCTTTGTTAGTACAAAATACTTCAGCGTGTTTCAAAGTCGTAGTCATACACCCTCAGCTTCGTTGTCACCAGAGAGGGAAAAGGTTGTCCTACATCCTAGAAACCTGACAGCACCCCTAGTTTGCCACTCTGAGTCCTGGATTCATAGGAAAATGTTGAGCATGGGGAGGGAGCAGACCTGATGCTGGGGCACTGTCAGGAAGTGTCACAGAAGGCAAGGTGAGCTGGGTCCTCAGATGACTTGCCCTAGTCCCTGCCTTCAAGTAATTGGAAGATGGGCTGGTGATACGGGAAGTCCCACAGAACATACTCATAGTGTTGAAATACTCCGAGCAGGCAGATGCAGGGTGTCCCTTTCAAGACAACGCCACCCTGAAGGAGGGTTGGTCAAAGTGCCTCTGAGCACTCCATGGTGGCTGTTCCATGGTGTCTGCTCTGCTGGGGCTGTGCCTTATACCTTTGTGTTCCCAATCCAGGCAGTAGTTTTAAAAGCCCTTTGGATGCCTTGAAGAAAGTGGATGATGACAGCACGCTTGGCTTGGGGTACAATCACCTAATCAAGGACTCCCAATGGGAGCAGCAGGAAGCAATCTTCTGCAGCACTTACCGGGAGTATCTGGAGGCCGAGGGTGAGAGAGAGAGCAAGGAGGAGATCCCCAGGTGAGTGGGAACACCAGCCAGAATTTCAGTCCATGAGATTTCAGCACAAGGCACTTTTCAAGTGTAGATGGAAGCATCTGTCTTAGCTTTGCCTCCTTCATTCCAGGGCTTTAGGGCAGGAGCCTAGAGCCATTCCACATTTTGTCACAGTGCTGCTGACTTATCAAGGCCTTTCTTTTACATACATTTCTTACTTTTTTTTCTCCCAGACATGCTACTTTTCATTTTCTCCTGCCTAGCCGGATTCTACAGGTGGGACCTGAAATGAAAGTACAGCCAGGTAATCCACATGAGCAAAAAGGTATTGATGACATTAGAACTCAATGGCTCTGGCTTGGGCTTGCTGTATAAATTCCATCTCCAAGGAAATAAGTCTGGACAAAAATGTCAGCGCTAAGACTGATAAGTCAGTCACTGGCACAGAGTCAAAAAAAGTTAGCTCCATAGTTTAAAAAGAAACCAAAACACATCCCTTCCCGCCCCC